AAGAAGAAGAAGAAGAAGAAGAAGAAGAAGAAGAAGAAGAAGAAGAAGAAGAAGAAGAAGAAGAAGAAGAAGAAGAAGAAGAAGAAAAACAATGCAGTTCTTCACTCACACTAGCCACTTTCCAAATGCCCAATAGTTACATGCGGCTCGTAAAGACTATACAGCATTTCAGTCATTGCAGAAAGTTCTATGGGACTGCACAGCTCTAGAATGAAATTTTGAGGGTATTAGAGCACATCCTGCCCCTGCCTTGCCTTCTCTACTTTCCAGCTGGAGGTCCTGCTAGGCAGAACAGAAAGAGATGAGGTTGACAATCTGCACAGTGCAGTCTGAGAACAAGCATTCATTCACTTCAACGACAGGACCGACATCGGTCACTGAAGGAGCTGTCTCAACTGAGGCCTCATGGTTGTGATGGTAGTGGCAGCCCATCTTGAGTCACTGCTGTGTAGATGCTGGCTTCAGAGGGGGAAGCACGGCTGGGGTTGTGCACACTGCAGGGACAGCGGGAACCCGGAACAGGCAGGAGCCATGCCCCCAACAAAGTTGGCAGGGTGGGAGCCCAGTGCTCCTGGACACAGCTGCAGCTGCCTAGCCATAGATCCAAACCCAGGCATCCCTGCATTCTCAGGGGCCCAGGAAGCCCCTGCCCCACAGGCTCAGAAGTGCCTGTTCCTACTCCCTGACTTCTCCTTGCCCCCAGAGCCCACTCTGGTGTGGAGTAAAGTTGTGGCTGCACCTGAGTGCTATCACGACCTGGCTGGGTGTGTGCATGCTCTGGGTGGTACAGAGACACACCAGCCCCCCTACCACCTTGGCCCCCTCAGACTTTGGGTGCCAACAAGTGCAGGAGAAAGGCCAGAGGGAGGGGACCGAGGGCATCTTGGTGTGGGCCTGCAGGTACCCCTTAGGACAAACAGCCTGGGTGCCATGGATAGCATGTTGATAGTGGGAGGCAGGCAGTTTCCTAGATGGAAAGGGGCAAGTCCCCAGTGAAACCCCACCTTTAAGCCAGGAATGGCCTGAAGCCTGGGGGCCAGGCTGCCAGTTCTGGGTGAAGTAGGAGGCCCAGAGTGAGGACTTCACTGATGACCCTTTGGCCAATCGGATGGTGCTTTTTCCAGACCTACCCATGGCCACCTATGGACCAGTCAGCACACACTCCTCTCTTCTGAGCCCATAAAAACCCCAAGACTCAGCCAGAGTCACACAGACATCGGGACTACCAGCTATGGGAAGGAGCTACCCATTTCAGGTGTCCTCAACTATTTGGAATGACCTGCCAGCAGAAAGGAGCTACCTACTTCCTGTTCTGGAAAGGAGCTGTTCTATTGCTCAGTGAAGCTCCTCTCTACCTTGCTTACCCTCCAGTTGTCCACATACCTCATTCTTCCTGGACATGGGACAAAAACTCCAGATCCACCAAATGGTGGGACTGAAAGAGCTGTAACACAAACAGAACTGAAACACTCACACACACTCTCTCACCATGTTGTGGGTGATGAGAAAGAGAGAAGAGCTGTGGCCCTTCAGGGACCCCAGACCTAGGGGCTCCCCAGGCCAGGGCTGTGATACCCTCTTTGGGGCCCTGCAGTTCCTGGCATCTCTAAGCTTCCAGGCACCACTGCATTCTCCAGCACCTGCAGTGGATGCTGCTTGTGGTCCTGCTGAAGCCTTGCACAGAGCCGGCATCTGTACCAGCACCTGAGCTGCCTGCCCCCCACAGCCAGGATGTCTGACTGTGCACAGTGGCTATACCCCCCACTTGTTCACATAACCCTCACTGCTCCACTCCTGGCTCACTCTGGGCAGGTGTGGGATCCAGGACAGTAGTACAAGCTGAGTGCAGCCTGCCACGCCGAGTTTGTGGAATGAGCCCAGCAGCCTGAGCAAAACTCAGGCAAAGGCACCACCAGCCACAGAGGTTTCCAGCCAGAAAAGCAACACCTGAAGTATCCCGTGACAGTTGGCCATGTGGGGAACAGGGCATAAGATTGTGTGTGTGTGTGTGTGTGTGTGTGCCCATGCATCTGAGTGTGTACAGTATTCCCCCCTTTATCCATGGTTTTACTTTTTGGGTTTCAGTTACTTGTGATTAACTGCAGTCTGAAGATATTAAATGGAAAATTCCAGAAATAAGCAACCCATTGATTTTAAGTTGCATGTCATTCTGAGTAGCTTGAGAAGTCTTGTATCTCCATGTTGTCTATGCTACCTGCTCACTAGTCAGTGGCAGTCTTGATTATCAGATAATTGTCTTGGCATTGCAGTGCTTGTGTTCATGTAACCCTTATTTTACTTAATAATGGCCCCAAAGTGCAAGAGTAGTGATAGTGGCATTTGTGATAATCATTCTATTTTATTATTAGTTATTGTTTACTTCTTACTGTGCCTAATTTACAAATTAAACTTTAGGTGTGTATGTATAGGAAGAAAGAGTGTATGTATGATATGGTACTACCTGTGGTTTCAGGTATATGCTGGAAGTCTTAGAACACATCCCCTGCAGGTAGCTGGGGGGATTAGAATGCTGAGGGAGAGATTCGGCATTAAATGACCTCCAAGGTCCTATCGCTCTGAAGAGTGTATCCCACTGCACATATGTGGATATAAAATTTCAAGGTTAATAGAGCACTATCTTTTTTATTTTTATTTTTTGGAACAGGTTATTTCTCTGTTGCCCAGGCTGGAGTGCAGTGGTACAACCTCAGTTCACTGCAGCCTCAACCTCCGGGCTCAAGCAATCCTTCTGTCTCAGCCTCCCAAGTAGCTGGGAGTATAGGAGCACCCACCATGCCCGGCTAATTGTTTTGTTTTTCGTAGAGACAAAGTCTCCCTGTGTTGCCCAGGCTGGTCTTTAACTCCTGGGCTCTAGTGATCCTCCTGCCTTGGCCTCCCAAGGATTAAAGGCGTGAGCCACTGCATCCAGCAAGTGGCCTATTCTTAATGCTTTCTAGGAAAGGAAATGCCCAGAACTCCAGTGTTCTACTTTTCACTTACCTCACCTATTACTGGACTGAAATTTAAAAAAAATTCTTTTATATCTCTTGAGGGGTGATATACTTACAAAAAATAAAATCATTTTCCTCTATCCAAACTGAATCTCTCTCATGTTCCAGTTTCAGCCTTCTGTTGTCAACAGATTTAAAAATCAGACATTCATTATGGTATGGGGCAAATTTTCCAAAGTGGGGAATAGGCAGCACTGTTGGTATTTAAGAACACTTCAGGAGGCGTGTGTATGTTGATTCAAATAATATTGAGTCAGAAGTGAGAAAATTATTCCTTTTTCAACCCCCTTTCAATTCTGATTGTATCAAGGAGAAAGTTTCACTTTGGTCCTAGTCTTTGGTGTCACTTTAACAGTTGTTGGCCGGATGCGGTGGCTCATACCTGTAATCCCAACACTTTGGGAGGCGAGGCGGGCTGATCACTTGAGGTCAGGAATTTGAGACCAGCCTGGCCAACATGGTGAAACCCCATCTCTACTAAAAATACAAAAATTAGCCGGGCATGGTGGCAGGAGCCTGTGGTCCCAGCTACGTGGGAGGCTGAGGCAGAAGAATTGCTTGAACCCGGGAGGCGAAGGTTGTAGTGAGCCCAGATCATGCCACAGCACTCCAGCCTGGGTGGAGTCAAAAAAATAAAAATAAAAAAGTTCTTCATCTCTTTTATTAGTAAAGGGTAAAGGGAAAAGGAACCTCAGGCTCTGAGCCTTGGGCAGGGAAGAAAAGTTTAACTAGGATTTGGTATCATCACTTTATTTTCATTACACAAGTGCACCTCATTTTAGTGCACTTTGACTTTGCTTTAGTGCATTTCACAGATACTGCTTTTTTATTTTTATATTTTGTTAAACAAATTGAAGGTTTGAGGCAAGTCTGTTGGTACCACTTTCCTAAGAGCATGTGCTCACTTTGTGTCTCCATGTCACATTTTGGTAATTTGGTAAT